GAGATAGTAATGTAATCACATGCTCAATGACAACTGTAATCAAACACTGGGGTTTTAATAACCATTAAAACAGTTGGAGGATTTTACCATTTCTCATTTAAATTGGAGGTCTTTTACTAAATAAATTTAACAAACATTGCACATAGTTTTAAACATTTTATAATAAGCAGTTACATGAAAAAAATCTCCAGATTTGGTTTCCCAATATGTTTTTTCTCATGCCTGGGCTTTCCATAAGGTCTATAGTGCCATTTATGGAGCTGTACTCAAATGAAAGAGGTCTGTATTATCCTAAATCGGGGGTCAGCAACCTGTAGATCGCAGCCAGGTGATTGGTAGATCGCAGTCTGTGCTTGCAGACCTGCCATCCCAGAGCATCAGGGTGCAATGCAGAGGGACTACTTGTAAAGTTGGACCTGTAGTAGGGAGCAAGAGCCACATAAGCCGATGCCTCCTCTGTAGTGCTGGCTCCTGTCCCATGCAGAGCGATACCAACTGCACTCCACCTTTTATTCTGGCTAGAGATCTCCAGAGTGGTGCCGGCAGCAGGAAAGAAGTGATCTTCAGGTCAGTGTGAAACGATACACTGGGCATAGTATAGGGTTGCTTTCACACTGATGCGCTGAGGGTTACCCATACCTTGTATTTAAACACAGCAACAAATCACCATATAATGACCATATAATGACCCAGAAAAGTTATCCACCTCCACCCTTGAAGGCTAATTAAACAAAATAATAAAACTTTTCCCTAAAACAAATAAACAATAAAATAAACATAAAGATAAAATAAAACCCACATAAAAACATGAAACCATAAAAAATGTCCCAAATATCCAAAATTCAAAAAATACAAAAATAATAAATAATCCAAAGAAATGATAATCCAAAAAAATAATCAAAAAAATAATCCCCACAGGTGTAAATAGTAATTTTCTTTCTTCTTTCATCAAAACACCTTCTTCTCAATATCCGCAAATCCTGATGACAGTACACCTCAAAAAGAAAAAAAACTTGACATAGTGTCATACCTTTTACATAATGCAACACACGTGCCACGCAGCATGCAAAAAACCTTTATAAATGTGTATACTCTATAGACGAGTATCTATACACATGCAAATATTCTTATAGTGAATATAGATATAAGTGAAACATACTCATATTAAAAAGTGTCAAAAACACCATGTGTAAAAACAACTCCCAATTAACACTGCAAGTGTGTATCTCAGTGATCCCCTGAAACCAAAACAACACTCTCCAACTCATATGCTGATGGGTAATTACCCTATATCAAAAACCACAGGGCAGGACACCACTCTGGGTTAATTTCTCCTCCAACCGATTATATCCAAATGCTAGGGATTTTCTTCCATTCTCAAGAAAATCCACAGTCACAGATAGTCTATAACATATCCTCCTTTATTAGTAACTCACATAAAATCTGGGTGAAAACAGCTCCTCCTCACAGGGATACAAGTGTGGACAGATTCAGGGAAACATTGGCCACATGTTCCCACTTCCAAGATGGCCGCGATCGCACTTCCGGTCAACGTCGATACGTCTGACGTCACGTGTCACTGACGTGTTTTGTCACTTCCTATGACTTTTTCAGAAGGGTCATCTGAAAAAGTCATAGGAAGTGACGAAACGCGTCAGCACACGTGACGTCAGACGTATCGACGTTGACCGGAAGTGCGATCGCGGCCATCTTGGAAGTGGGAACATGTGGCCAATGTTTCCCTGAATCTGTCCACACTTGTATCCCTGTGAGGAGGAGCTGTTTTCACCCAGATTTTATGTGAGTTACTAATAAAGGAGGATATGTTATAGACTATCTGTGACTGTGGATTTTCTTGAGAATGGAAGAAAATCCCTAGCATTTGGATATAATCGGTTGGAGGAGAAATTAACCCAGAGTGGTGTCCTGCCCTGTGGTTTTTGATATAGGGTAATTACCCATCAGCATATGAGTTGGAGAGTGTTGTTTTGGTTTCAGGGGATCACTGAGATACACACTTGCAGTGTTAATTGGGAGTTGTTTTTACACATGGTGTTTTTGACACTTTTTAATATGAGTATGTTTCACTTATATCTATATTCACTATAAGAATATTTGCATGTGTATAGATACTCGTCTATAGAGTATACACATTTATAAAGGTTTTTTGCATGCTGCGTGGCACGTGTGTTGCATTATGTAAAAGGTATGACACTATGTCAAGTTTTTTTCTTTTTGAGGTGTACTGTCATCAGGATTTGCGGATATTGAGAAGAAGGAGTGTTTGATGAAAGAAGAAAGAAAATTACTATTTACACCTGTGGGGATTATTTTTTTTGGATTATTATTTTTTTGGATTATTATTTTTTTGGATTATCATTTCTTTGGATTATTTATTATTTTTGTATTTTTTGAATTTTGGATATTTGGGACATTTTTTATGGTTTCATGTTTTTATGTGGGTTTTTTTATTTTATCTTTTTGTTTATTTTATTGTTATTTATTTGTTTTAGGGAAAAGTTTTATTATTTTGTTTACCCATACCTTGGATGCAGTGCAGTGTACCTGCAGCTTTCCTGCGGGCTTGCTTGCTAGGCTATAATAGAAGTCTATGGCAAAGCGCAGCTATCCCAGGAAAGTCACAGATGCACATCAGTGTGAAAGCAGCCTTATAGGGGACTCAGAACAGTAAGGGTTCATTTACATTTGCAGTTTTGGGGTGGTAAAACCCCATAGTTAAGATGTGTTTTTTTTAGCAGTCCCGCTCCTACAGCACCCACAACCGCACCCCTTTAGCTGCAGTGACCAGGGGTGTACACGTTTCGCAGCTGCAGCAGCAGGAGTTATATGCCCTGTCATGGTTGGGTGTAGCACCTGCCAAGAATGATCCATTCAAGTGCACCTTGTGCAGTACAACAAGGGTTTAAAGCAGGCAGCGTTATGTTGCTTTCTCATCACCTGCTTTAACCCTTTGGACCCAGCAGAAGCATGCAGTTGCGGGTGCTTGCAGAGTGGCACTATTTATTTGAATGGGTGTCACAACTGGCAGGCCACAGCACCAACCAAAAGCAACAGGGGTTTACTTCTTGCTGCGACATGTGTCCACCTTTGGCTGCTGCCTTAGCAGCTAAAGAGGGTAGGGATTGGAGGCGATAAAACTGCGACTCATTCACAAGTACAGCAGGCACTGCTGCTGCTCCTCTGAAAAGCAATCTGAGTGTGTTTGACAGGTGGTGAGGAGATGTGTTGCCTCCTCACCACCTGATTTAAACACATGATTTCCGTGCAATGCACCCGCTTGCAACACGGTAGTACGGTAATTAGTTTTAAATTAGGTGTGAGCATGTGACACTAGCCCAGTGATCTTCAACTTCTTCCATGTTATTCAGGTAGATTTCCACCTCACTTCAGGTGGGCCTCGAACCTACGACCATGCACTTCCTGGACAGGCACCTTAACCACTATGCTACAGCCGCTGCCCAATACTAAGGACTTCAATCCATGTTAAGAGTAGACCTTTACCTTAATAAATGATCCTTCAACTAAATTAAAGTATAACTGAAGGAGAAACTTTTTTTTTTTTTTTTTTAGTTTTGGACAGAAAGGAGAACGATTAGAACCCTTATCAGGTTCCTATTGTTGTCTGTGCCCTCATTAGGCAGATTCACCATATTTGTCCTGTTTACCATGATTACTGAAAGTGAATGTGAAACAAAATCCCAAAGTTTGGGTTTTAGGAGAAACCTTCCAATGGGGACACTAGTTCTGGTGATTCTGGCGACAACCAGGAATTCTATAATTTTATAGAGATTTCCTCCAACTTCCTGTTTTGGCTATGGAACCAAAAGTGAATGGAAATCTCCCCAATGAGACATGGGTGGGGAAAAAAAACTGACAGGGGTTGTAACCCTCCCTTACTCTATCCACAACGAAAAGAAAACGTTTTGTCTTCAGTTGTCTCAAGATCAGCACAAAGGATTGCTTAAGGCACACAATATAACCCTTTGCAACATTCTATAGGGCTGTGTGAGCCCGATTTTAGTGTTGCCTAGAGCAGCACAAGATCTAAATACACCACTGCTCTAACTACTGGGTACATATGGAGGATTTTTTTTCAGCATGTCAGTGTAGATATCTAAGCTGAGCAGCTCCTGTATGAGCTGTTCTGTCAAATCATCTTAAATTCATGAAAGGAATAGGCATGGTCATCCTTATTCATTGCACAGCATAACTGCAACACTTTGCAGGCACAGACCTACACTATTCCTTCCCATATCAATTGCAACTGTGGAGGGGCTTCTCTGCAGTAGCAAGCTGCACTAGCTGACCTGTCAGTTAACACTTTGCTAATAGCCCCCCTTACAGAAATGCTTGCTCCAAAGTCTGGAATCACTACCACTGAAAAATGTTATGTCAGCTGAATTTGTGCAATGATGGCAGCAAAATGCCGGTACATTTATGTCTGCCACTGCATTTACAGCCAGGTTAGAAGTCCTTAAACACCATTTATGAATGTATCATTTAGGGGTTAACTTATAAATATTTTTGAATGTTGAAAACCATTTAGAAAAATGTGTTAGTCTTGGGTTTAAGTTGTGTAAATCTTGTGTGAAAACATTTATATAATAGCCCCCCAATTTATATAATAGCCCCCCATTGTTTTCTTGGAAGGTTATAGGTGGTCTAATTGCCCCCCAATCTGACAACTGACAAAGGATTGAGCCATTAGGGCTCCCCAAAGGCAATTACGTGTATTCAGTTTGTTCTGTTTCAAGAAAACAGCAGCAGGTGCTAACATTACATTGAGTTGGCAAAAGTCTCCTTGTCCATCATTCTTGGGGAGATATCTGCTTGTGACCAGGGTATAAAAGGACAAAGCCAAGTACACAAAAAAAAAAAAAAAAAAACATAATAAAATTGTCCTTTATTGCACATTTTTTTAGGCTTTCCAACAACAAAAAAAAAAAAAAAAAAAAAAGAAAAGAAAAAAGTTAACTTACCATTTCTTTCCTAAGCAAAGCCAAATGCAGCATCAAGGTTGGGCGGCTTTGGTATTGTATGAGAGCCTCCGCTGGAGCCTCCACGACTTAAGTCATCCTGAATACGGGACTTCTGCGCATAGACTCTCTCCAGATCTCTCCACCCTGAACCCCCGCTTGAATTGAGCAGACCACTAAGGCTCTTTGGGAGTGGAGGTAGGCCTTCCATACAAGGCGTCAAAGGAGCAATTGCTGCATGGGAAGCACTCATCACTTGCTCTATGAAGACTTCAAAGTCTCAGCCAAAAGCACTCCCTAAATAATGACAGAAGAGAGAATGCATCAGGCTTCTCAAAAATAGAGGGTGTTAATTTGCAGGTTAGTCATTTACATGACCTACTACAAGACAACAGGCTTCAAAAACGACAACAAAAAACACAATACAAATGGCTACAGAATCTACTCCTTACATTACCGATATCAAGGTTTAGGAAAGCATTTATAGTAAAATCATAGTAATTTTCCTGTAGACCACTGAATGTTAATAAAGTGATATTAAACCCTCTGATTTTTAAGCACTTTCAGCAGCTGATTTACTGAGTATGCAGCCTCTTTATCTTTTAATCCTTGTTCTAGTTTAGGCTGGTGCCAAGGCCCCTGCCCCAGGTTTACTGTTTCAGGGTGTTTCCTATGGAGAAATCCTTGCAATCAGGTACTAGTGTTGTTTTTCCCTAAACTTTGTGCATCCATAGAAACACACAGCCTCACGTCTAGGATGGTACTCCCTGCTCCTCCCCCACACCACCACCCAGCAGAGACTCTACTGTTAACTTTTTCCTGTGAAGGCCATAGGTTCAGGGATGCAGCACTGAAGAGAGCAGGAGTCAGAAGCACTGAAAGATGTAAACTGCAAGTGCTGGGATAAGAATTTTAACAAATAGTTTCCTGGGGAATGTTTAATATTATTATGCGCCACGTGTCAAGCTACAAAATGCTGAGGGTTTAATACTACTTTAATACAATCCCAATTATTAATCAAAGTCTTAATCCAAATACTTGTGGTTAGGATTTTGTGCTACATTACGTAGTCAGTAAAGAATTGCAGATTGTTCATCAAAAACAATGTATGATATCATGTTATGTGTGAGCACCGATTTAAAAAATATTATCATACACTACATATCAGGTTAAGATATTTACAGATAACTAACACCCAGTTGGCCTCTTGCAGTTGATTCAAGAAACCACTATAAATCTGTAGACACCATGCAGCCTTTGAAGACATCTGACTAACAAATCTCAGGAAAAGAATCCTCATCCGGATTAGATATTCCTGGCTGATCAGTAATGAGATCAGGCTGGTGCCAGGGAGGTCTTCTGAGTCCAATACTTGGCTGAAATAAGCAAGCACATTTATGTTGTAATCCTTCTGCAGAACTATCCAACCTCCGTCTAAAGTCTTTGGATACATTGAAGGGAATTAATGTTTTATATAAATCCTATACCTGATAAATAAGAAATACTGAACATTAATATTACAAAAAGTCTATTAACCAGCCAGCAGATGGATCATTGTCTCAAGTAAACCTGTCACTGCCCATTCAGCACCCCCCTTTTGAGTGGATACCTTCCTCTTGCTCTCCATTACCCTGTTTGCCAACCTGCATCTTTGGAAACTGTCCATACTTCAGGGTGGGGAGGAACACGTGTCCTCCTTTTTTCCTCCATCCACTATGCAGAGCAGCTAATCACCAGTCGAGAGAACGCTCACATGGGGTGGGGGAAGGTCCTTAGCTCTAAGCACTGGCTTTCTTCTTGGGACTCAGGTAGGCGGAAGGGGCAGGGAAAGTAAGTAGTATTGGCCAAAAACATTGCAATCAAAAGAACCTGTCATTTTGGCCCTGAACTGTCACATTTATTTCTCTCATCAGGTGGTAAAAACCAACTGTGTTGTCACTTTTGATAACCTGTAGTGCTATGTGAATCCTTTGTCACTTATAATTTTTTGTAAAATAAAAAATGTGTTTGATTTGAACTCCATATGTTATTGTTATTTTATTGTCACCGTTTTCTCAGAATAAACAAAAATCTGACACTTACTTGGAATTGGCATTTGTCATATATTGTGCACAAGCCATATTCTTGCAATCTGGCTCTCTGGAAGTGTTCCTTATACTGTATGTACACAGAATCTCCCTAAAATTCTGTTTCCTGCTTGTTAGAGTCTTCATTGAACTACAAGGGAAATTTCTGGCACCCTTTACAATAGAAAGTTCATTTTGCTGAGATACTTCCTAGGGCTATTGCTTATCCAAAGGGATGCAAACAGCAACATTTATTATTACAGCACACATGAGCATATTTACAAAGCAGTGAAACGTTATCTGATGGTGAATCACTGTCAAAACAGCAGGAAGATTCACCTGCAGTGAATGTTTGGTAAATTGCAGATTCATAAACATACCCCTTAAACTGATCAACTGGTATGAATGATCCTTCCACTCAGAAATCAGCAAGGCCTTGTTCACACTAGTGGTTGGGGGAGCCTGCATTTTTAACCCCTCCAACAACTGCTCCCCCTTTAGCTGCAGAGGCAGCAGTCAGGGGGTGTACCTATCCATTCAAGTGAATGGGGCTGCACTGTAACCTCCCTGCATAGCCCCTCCTGCCATCAGGATACACTGACAAGCTGATCAAAGGCTGGTTTTCCAGCAGGACAGTTTGAATGATCAGCTTCTGTTGAGCAAAGAGTACTACACATAGAGCAAAATTTGCTCGGGTCCTGCTGAACTGGACAAGGTTCGATACCTGTATCGGACAGCAGTAACACCATGAGAAGGTCCTAAATTTTACTCATGCTAATTAAACGTGGAAAAAAAAATCAGTTTAACATAAACTTTTAAGTGTAAGCCCTAATAATGAACTTCTCTCTTTTAGGTCCCCTTTTTTAAGTCCTCATGCACACGGGACGTTTTGATAACGCTGGTAACATTAGCTGTGTAAAGTCACTTTAAAAATGTGAGTTTTTCAGCTTTTTTTAGCATTTAGTGGCGTTTCCGCGTTTGTGTTTTTTAGAGTTTGTTTGCGTTTTTTTTGAAAAAAAAAAAAAGAAAATTTTTTTTACTAAAAAAATGTCCAAAAACGCCTGGCTTGCTGAGTTTTTCAGCGTTAGAGTGTTTTTACAGCTAAAAAACCCCTCTAGAAACCTACTAGTCCTGAGTTTATTTCCAGCCAAAAAACATTGATTACAGTCTATGTGTGCATGGACACACAGGATAACATGCAGGAGGGGTTACTAGCTGTAGAAAAAAAATGTCAAAAGCCAAAAACAGCAGCTGTAAAAACGTCAAGTGTGCATGAGGACTAATACGTGCTCCAGGTCATCTATTATTTCCAAAAATAGTAACACCTACAGATTTTTCCAAATTTTTTTTAAATGAATTGAACAAGCGATACCATATTTTCTGAGTCATAATCCTCCCAGCCCTTACAAGGACATTAGCAGAAAACAGTTTCATCACTAGAACAAAAGAATAAACATTATAATGCTATATGTCATCAGTATTGATCTGAACACCCTGGAAATACCTCTATACTTACAATAAATTAGGTTGGTCCAAGCTGGCCTTTTTTGCAGCCTACATACCAGGGGCGGACTGACCATTTGGAAACTTGGGCACTGGCCGAGGGCCCGGGGTCAGTAGGGGGCCCCATGAGATGCCCCTGGTACCTTTTTCATATGCTTTTTTTGAGTTTGGGCAAGGACACAGGGGCCCCATGATCCCCTATTGCCCGGGGGCCCCATGAGTTGTCAGTCTGCCCCTGCTACATACTCTCTCCTAGCTGTGGACAGTGATTACTCGGATGAGGCCATTCAAAGTCTAGACACGCAGTTACAGCGACGGTGACTGCTCCTTTTCAGACCACTCACTGCTTATTGTAAGGAATTGGAGTCATGTTAGATTAACTCAAGTGCAGCAGCCATAGGAGCAGAGGTACGGTAACATATCCTGAATGACGATGAACTCCACGCAAACAGATAATATACATTTGAAGTTCATACATGAGAGCCATCTTACCGGCCAAGGGATTTCTATTTTCTGTCTATACAATTCTGGAAAGTCCCTGTATGTCAACGAACACCAAGAGGATTACCATTATTTTCTATTGGACCTGTTCACACATATGTTTTTCCCTTCCATGTGACTTTGAAAAAATTTTGGCCGATTACTGCTAAACTGGCCAACACAAGCCATGGGCTGCCCTGCAAGCACCACTTGGCTCAACAAAAGTTGATTCAGTCCTCATGCACACTGGGTGTTTTTACAGCTGCTGTTTTTGGCTTTGGCTATTTTTTTCCCCTACAGCTAGTAAACTCCCCAGCATGTTATCCTATGTGTCCATGCACACATAGGCTTTAATCAGCGTTTTTTGGCTGGAAAAAAAACCCCAGAACTAGTGGGTTTCTAGAGGAGTTTTTTAGCTGTAAAAACGCACTAACTGTGAATAACATGGCAAACCGGCATTTTTGGACTTTTTTTTTTTTTAGCAAAAAACATTGAAAAATGCTAAAAACCGCAAAAGTGGAAAAACGTGGCTAAATGCAAAAAACAGTAAAAATTGCTGAAAATGCCATGTTTTTAATGCGACTTTATACAGCTAACACTACCAGCATTATTAAAACGCCCAGCGTGCATGGAGCCTTAGTTCTCATGCACACAACGTTTTTACAGTTTCTGTTTTTGGCTTTCAACGTTTTTTTTCTACAGCCCTAAACCCCCCAGCATGTTATCCTGTGTGTCCATGCACACATAGACTGTAATCAACATTTTTTGGCTGGGATGTTTTGTGGCTGGTAAAAAAAACCCAGGACTAGTGGGTTTCTAGAGGAAGTTTTTTTTTAGCTGTAAAAACGCCACAAATGGTTTTGGACATTTGTTTGACCAAAAAATAAAAACACAAAAAAAAAATGCAAATGCGGAAAAACGCCACTAAACACTAATACCAAAACGCTAAAAAACTCACGTTTTTAATGTGACTTTACACAGCTAAAGTTACCAGTGTTATCAAAACGTCCAGTGTGCATGAGGACGTGCATGGATGGAAAATTATCAGCGGAACAGCATTGCACTTTATCATATGCAGTCACTGTTCAGGTTTTCAGGTAGCTGGGGCACAATGCAATAGGCATCATTCCTCCATTAATGCAAATTAGGCCACATTCACACCAACAATTAGGGCCAGTATGCATTGTCTGCTGCGGCCCTCAGT